CACTGATACGGCTTGCCGTAACAATCAAATGGCTTGCCATAACACTGAAATGGCTTTGAAGAACACTGATACGGCTTGCTGCAACACTGAAATGGCTTGCCGTAACATTGAAATGGCTTTCCAGAACACTGATACGGCTTGCCGTAACAATCAAATGGCTTGCCATAACAATGAAATGGCTTGCCATAACACTGAAATGGCTTGCCGTAACACTTAAATGGCGCCCTATCTTAAGCACATACAATCCAACYGGCCAATCACAAGGCCTGGATACGGTAMGACAATATGATACGGCTACAGTACATGAGTGACAARAATTCCKCATTTTCCACCACGAATTATGCTTYATAATATACGATGTGGTTTAGCGTTCCCAATATTAAAAGCACAATAATATATCAATAAGTTATTATCGCACAATCAGCAAGAGATTCTAAACAAATCGAGCAGACAACACATGCTTGTTTTGTCGGCTTTCTAGATCATTGATTCGAGCGGGGGAAAACAAGAGTTTTAATCACGCTTGGAGGCAGGGACGCCAATAGGGTCGGCAGAATTCATTATTCTTTTCCATAAGGTCAATATAAGCTGTTCTTCGTCTGAAACATTTGAATTAAAATGATCCTGGAATATTCTCTATCAATAGGACGCAAGTCAACCAGAAACTCGCTCATGTCGAAATGTTTTCAATGTTTTACAGTCAAAACGACTCAAGCTTACCCCCTCACCCCACCCCCCAGGTTCCATTATTGGTTTCATTATTTATTACTCTTTCTGAGTGCTACCAGTAAACCCGTGAAACCAATACTAATTTTTAGTACTAAATAGTGATAATCAAACAACAGGAAACAAAGGATTCTGTATGAATTACTACTAATTAGTACTAAATATTGTTCACGGGTTTAGTGCGTGTACTCTACCCTGCTAGCAGAGGTTGTTTTTCTAAAGGGCGGATTCAAAATATAATAACCGATTCAGGTAAGTAAGGTAAACCTTAGTCCCAAAATTTGTGCAGCCGGACCAAATAATATTATAGAATTTTAGATTTATRGGGAGCATGCARTTTAAATCAGCCCATTTCTTCAAGRGTTTAAGAGCAAGATTATCAAACTMACCAAACCGGTATAGAGCCGGTTTAACGCCGGAACAATATCCCTAAAAAATYAACAACAATAGAAGCCTCAATTTACGTTACAGGTCAGACAAGTTCTGATCTCCAGCTAACTTGCGCGTGTTTMAAGACTCCTCGGCAGGCGTCAATAGCTTCGGTAACAATGACGGCTGCGTAGGGGACTTAGGTATGAATTGAGTGGAAAAGCTTCTTTATTATTAAACGGTGATCCTTAAGCTAAGCAAGACTTGGATTTATTCGCATACTGAGTCAACTATTATAGCAAACATTCAACACTGTCAACATAYATGGAGTCAAACGTTCAATGCGCATAAGCTCTTAGGTGACCTGACTATGCACTCCTTTGCAACTAATCACGGTCTGGTTCAAAAACATAGAACATAGAACCCACATAGAACCTGATAGAACCGAATGATACATGGGAAGTACATTTAGATGTATCTTGTGATACAACACTTGCAATGTTTAWAAATTGTTGTACTGACAGAAGCATGCTTCTAACACATGTTTGATATCGACTGTGTATCTCAAATGAATACATCACCGGATATCAATTTCCCAGAATAATTTTCGGTGTCAMCATTAATTTGTTTACTTCGTATATAAATTATTTCAAGAAGCATAAAGTACGCTAAGCATCACAAGAATCTAATGAACTAAGAGAGCTACTACTCGCTTTAGTAGAATCTTCAGTTGTGTATATTCGAGTTGCATGGGTTTTTGCTCACGTTTAAAAATATGATTAGCATATTTTATARGGTGTGAATCAAATACATAAGTTATCTATTAAAGAAGCAATATGTGCGAGCTCCTTGCGACTACCAGACTTTACTCAGAACATCAGTAAACACACCCAAATTGTGCTACCTACTAGAGTGTAGAGATTGCATACTCACGAGAATAGAACACAGCGATTTCATTTCTTGAAACCGTTACCAGGGGTTCAGAGTAGGTAAGGTTGTGCGTCAAGCCCCCTCGTTTATGTGGCGGTAAAGCATGATCTCCGTAGTCAACAAGTACACCAAATATAACGATGAGAAACGCTTGGAAAATAAGTACAAAGGCTGAGAATTTTGGACTCGCCATCTTTAGCGTCTTATCTTTGAACCCTGAGAACGCTTAACTCTTCCAGGCTTTAGCTGCAAGACGAAATAGCCGACCTGAAGTGCCTCGGTCAAGACAGTAAATGACTGTTTTTGTCATTTGGGTAAGTGATATGAGAGGGTTAACAGCTTGCCTACTCGAGTTACTCGGACCATCCACTGTATCCATGGCAATCTGGATAGTATAAACTTTATTTCGTAGTTAGGGTAGTTTTATGTTCTGTACCACACTTAGTCTTAAATCCGCTTAGAAATGATAAATATCTTTTTATGAAAAGAAAAGTCTGGAACCTGGAATAGTGAATTTTGACAAAGAGTAAGTGAGCAGCAATGCCCTCCGCCTGCTTCGACGTCCTCAGACATCATCTACTAGACCTCCAACCTACCCCCTACAGATTGAATTCCACATAGGCCCTTGTACATCAAATTTCAATTCAGAATGATAATTTGAATTCATGTATGGGGTAATGAGATGCTAATGAGTCCAAAAGGACGAAACAACTGTCTGTGGTGGCCTTGTGTAGCAGGCGTTGCAAAGAGAGAGAGGAAAGAAAGAAAGAAAGAAAGAAAGAATGAATAAATGAATGAATGGGAAGAAAACTTTGGCGCACTAATGATACGAATACATACTGTTTTGCATAATTCAGACTCGTTAACTAAACCACAAGAGAAAATAAACTTTTTCATTTTCTCTTGCTAAAATAGAGGATATTACATGGGCGCGCGGAGAKACGAAATTTATCTTCGAGTGTTGAAAAGATCTCTCAAGAGTGAGCGCAGCGAACGAGTGAGAGATCTTCAACACGAGAAGAAAAATTTCTTATCTCCAAGCGTCCATGTAATATTCTGTTTATCGTATAATTATCCATAAAATCAACTTAACAAGCTTTTTATTATTATAAAAAGTTTTTATTTATGAACTAATAGCTTAAATACACATGGAAACGATATTTTCACATGTAAAAATAACATGTCATTTTCACATGTGAAAATATCAGTTTTTCGAAAAGGAGAAATATAGATATTTTATGGATAATTATATGATAACAAGTTACAATAATACAAATATTGGCCATACATTTTTCACATTCTGGGCATCATATTTCGCGGCCCACGATGCATCGCATGCATTCCTGAACTCCTTGTGCTTTCTTCAGTATCGCTTCCTCAATCAGGTGTAACTATTCTGCATGCTTTGCGTTGTCCTTCGACTAACTTTATCTAGTACTCAATCATTCACTTTAGCGGATCCATATTTATCCACAAGTAACGTGTTCGTAACGTATACAGGACACACACACATGCGAAATTAAGCAAAACGCCTCAAGAAAAATAACTCATTTTTCCATGACTGACCCTTAACTCTAAACAGTAGCGGGGAGTCAACCAAATAAATGATTATTGAGACGCGCATTCCTTATGGACAAAGATGTGCCCTTCAATAGGACGCTTAACACATGCTGGGGACTGTAGAATAACTTGTAATCGGTACGTGCTTGAAAAAAAAAAAAAATAAATAAATAAATAAATCATAAACTACTCTTGAGTGACGAATCTGATTTCCTGCTGGAATGCAAACTCCTTGATCGGCTGGAGAGATTTATATTAGCAGCTTGTTGGACGACATAGTACAATGTGGTCGAGCCGATGGCTACTACGGCGCACTGCACAACGGCAATACACGTCATGCCTGAACACGGACCAAGTACAGATYGAGACATTAATTTACTGATTTAATAGGATCTAAATATGATCTAAAAATGAAAAATTGCAACGACAAAAAATTAAAGATATTGTAATGTCTAGCCTTAGTTTTAATGTATAACATGTATTATTTAAGTTTAGTTGTTTTTGTATGTATATTCATGTAAATATAATTTCAAGTTATTTCTAAACAATGATAAAAATATTTAAAAAGTATGTATTTAGTATTCAAAGGCGGGCGCTTTTGAATGCTGAAAAATGAATACCGTAAAATTGGAATAATGTAGTACTTTAAAGAATATTAAGAAATAATGAGTTTTCTTATAATGATTTAACATTAAACCGAAATATTGCATACTCTTCGTTTGCAATAGACGTCATAGCCGCCGCGTTGGAAGAATTTGACAAAAGATTTTTCAATGAATTCTTTTGTTATATCTTCCAACATGGCGGACATCCCTTTTGTTATTGTGCTCTCTTGGGATTGATTGCAAACCAAGAATACACTCAATTGAAGAATCGTTGTCGGGTTCAGAAACACAGAACATAGAAGCTGAGACCGAAATGGCACATAGGAATTAGATGCATTCTGTGACCGGCGACCCATGGCATCATCCACTGTTTTTAATACGCGTTTGGTATTCTAAACCGACTGAGTGGATGGCGCAAGTGAATAAATTATATTAGTATATACCAACTTGTGTACTTCCTAAGAACGAGCGCGCTTTTGGTTAATTGGAGGTGAATATTGTACGATATTCACCTCTGAATCTCGGAATATTGAGTAGCAACAAAATGGCATCTGCCGGCAATCGTTTTGCTACAACTTCCGATGAGAAAATTGAAAAAATGAAAGTAAATGCCATTCGTATCAATACTAAAAAGGCAACGAAGTATGGCCTAAAAGTTTTGCTAAAAGTTTTTCGTGAATTTGTTACGCAAAGTAAAAGTTTCTGTTTGTTTGTTTTTATTGAATTATTGTATATAAAAATAAGTTACTCTGTACACAAGTTGGTATATGCTCTGTGAATATGGAGAATATTTACCTCGCCGCTCAAAGACTCGCGTCTCGGTAAATATTCCCCGATATTCACTTCGCCTTCGGCGAATAATTGCTAAATATAATTATGTCATTTCCCATGCCCTTTACTATCTTAAAACATAAAAGAAAAAGAAATAAAGGGAAAAATTCCAGACCGGAGGAATATAGCAGGCTGGTTACAATATGTTATCAAGTTTTTTATCTTCATTTGTCCTTCATCAGTTCCTCTTTTTCTTGTTCGTTCTTCTCCGGGTTTTCATTCGTATTCTTGTCAGAATTGCAGCCCAGCTTAGTCATGATGAACTCCATCGTCGAGTACGATTCTTTGCCATCAGGTAGCTGAGGATTTATCAAAACGATCTTAATCAGAAATAATCCAAAACGAAATATATGGAATAGACTTTTAGTCAAGTTGGAATTACCGCTGTGTTCCTTGATTACAGACTTATTTACTCAGGATTACCTCGTATCAGTGTCTAAATATTCACAAATACCAACGGTAAAGTAAAGAATGCACAACTTCAACAATACAAATACTTTGAAATTCTACGGACCTTCACTGGAACACATGAAGGTCGAGGCTAACTAGTATATTTAGTACAGCGCGCGAAAGCGCAATTCATCTGATGGAAAGGTTCAAAGACGTGTYACTTGTATAGAACCATCGTCGATAAGACATTTTCCTGTAGTCAAATATTAGATTTAAGCCTTTTATTGAATCACAAGCAATCTTACTCACATTGAAGAAATCAGCATCATCGTACAGTTGGTGTTGCTTGGGAGGATCGAAGATGCGGAGTCGAGCGATAAATCCTTGGAAAAATGAAAAAAAGGATAAAGAATACGATTAACGACGATAGAAAGACACTAGAGAAAAACGTTTGCGCATGCGTGCATTTCAGCATGTTTTCTAAGAATTTAGAAGAGTTTGAGTGAGAAAATAAATGTTTGTTTTCTCCAAGTATGCAAAAAAATTCGCGAGTATACTTTTGTCAGACCAAGGTACTGTATTAACGAACACAATATGAAAGAATTATACTTAAGTTTCAAGCATGGACACTAATTTGGAAGCCATTTCGGTGTTGAGGAACCGTGGCTTACTACTAACATTCCAACATACCATTAACGAGTCCTCCAATCACAGCGATTCCTACTGTTGCACCCACACCCGCCAACTGGAACAACCCTTGTCGCTTAGCACTTCGACCTTCACCTGGGGTGAACGTCACACCTAGACTTTGGAGTTTGTAAAACTCGGTGGAGTTGGCTACGGGCGCACGAGCTCCGAAGACATYATACAGCCTATGAAGAAGAGAGAAAGAACGTTAAAATAAAATAACCTGTACAAAAGTTGACAAACACTACAGTAGGTGAGTAAATTGAATTTTGTATGACTGGGGAAACTTCGGCTACGTGCCGTGCCGTGACGATAATTTGTGTGAGCATTTTCATTGGATAAGAARCAGGCTCGCGTGGTGTGATTGGTTCAAAGGGTATGGTCAATTCAGTACCGTGACCGTGTCTTTTCACAGCCACWCGTAATCTACTCTTACCTCAATTCAAGTTATCTCAGGAAGCCTCGTATTACCAAGAAATTAAATTCGACAAATATTCGACTTCGATTTGCTTACCCTTCGTAGCCATAAGCCTCGTGTTCTGCTTGAGCAGCGATAATAGCTCCAGCAACGGCACCGATAATTCCTGGCATGCCATGCAGGTTGTGAATACCTGCCACATCATTGATCTTTAGGTGGCGAACCAAAAATGGCTGAAAAAAACAATCAGAATGCGTTAGAAGCTATTATAACCAATCAGAATGCGTCAGATATTATGCAAACCAATCCGAATGCGTTAAAAATTATACTAACCAATCAGAATGCATGCGTTAGTTATTATGCTAATTTAGATATTTTCAATGAGTCAAAGAAAGAAAATATACTAAAGAGAATTAAAGATATTAAACTTACGGATACGAATTGAAATCCTAGTGTGCTCACTGCGCCACCAATACTACCGACCAGCAGTGCTCCCCATGGATACATCATCATACTCGACGCAGTCCCTACAGCTACTCCTCCAGCAAGGGTCGCGTTTTGAACATGGGCCTAGAAACGAATGATGTTTGAGGGTTCAGTTGCAAATATTTGATGAGGATTTACGGAATGAATCCAATGAATATTGACATTAGCCTACAATGACAAGCAAACACTGCTCATCATGAGTTGAGCGAGAGTATATTTATTTCTTGTTATCAATCAGCTGGATTACCATGGTAATTTTTCCTTCTTTGTTGACGGCAGAAGAAACCAAGAACACGACAACAGCACTGGAGGCAAGACCAAGGTACGTGTTGATGACGATACGGTGCTGAGTGACGTAATCAGGGGCGCCGAAGACGCTATTAAAACTGGGCCAGTAGATCCACAGCAATATGGAGCCTGTGGAACATTAAAGGGCCTTTACAAAACTGGTCAAGTTGACAGAAGGAAGATTTGAGTAAATTAGCAAGGGAAAAAGGAAGGAAAGAAGGAAGGAAGGAAGAATCGAAGGAAGGAAGGAACGGCGGACCGACGGACGGAGAGAAAGAGGGAGGGAAGGAAGAAAGGAGGGAGGATAGAAATAAATAAAGAGGAATAGAAGGTGAGAAGAAAGGAAATAAAGAGTGAAGACATTAACTAACCAATCAAAGAAAACAAATCCGAGTTGTAACTTGGTTCAGCTTTAGTCGTCTCGGTCGAGTCCTTTCTGTACAATACTTTACAGAAAGCTAGACCATAATATGCTCCAAACGCATGAACTAACATGCAACCACCAGGATCTGTAACCTATAAATAACGACTATAAATCGGCTATGCGTACATGCCAATACGTTGATGTATGTCATATGAAATATTGTATTTTCTATTATAAGTTAAAAGTTAGGTAACGCTCAACGTTTCCGCTTCCCAGGGCCCAAGCTCCGTTTGGTCTTCTAATTCTGTTTTTGCCGGATACAAAAACCATATAAAGACGCTTGCGCATGCGTGCATTTTAGTAACTTTACCTAGGTTTTCCCTCGCTCTCCATTCCCTCGCCCTAGCATTCTTATTGCGCATGTTCAACAAAAGGTTTTATCGAGTATGCGCAGTGTTCTGCACATACCTGTAAGTAGTTGAACAAAACGATTTCATTAATGGCGTAGAATATCGGAAGGAAGAAAGAAATGACTATGAGCTGTAGAGTACTGCAGTATCCCAAGGTAGAGCAATATGCAATCAGTGCTACAGCTGCGGTAAAGTCTGCAGACGTTATCCTGTGCGAGAGAGATGACAAAAACAACTAATGAACTCTACTTTCTCACAATAAAGGATTAGGTTTTAAGGGAATACGAGATAAAAATCTTCGGAAGTTTTGATTTTTAGGTCATAATTTAGTTTTCAAAAATTCGATCTCCATTGGTCTCGATGCTACCCGTTTTGTGGTAAGCAAAGAAATAATACTCAAGGGGATTACATTTACTTAAGTGAAATGGAAAAAAATATTACGCACACTGAATTTGTTTCTAACCTAGAGTACTTCAATCAGGGTTGCTCTGAGAAAAGACCAGCTTCAGAAATAATGGTATAGTTATTTTGAAGTTTACTTACGATAAAATGTTGACCTGAATATGCGGCTCACCATAGATCAAACTACCAAAGATGCCCGACATAAGAATCCCCCACTGCGCGGAGAGGGCAGCCCCAAAGAACGCATAGGCGACCCCACAATAGCTGAACCGCTTGAAAAAAGACAGTAGATACGGGAACCCGAAGAATATCATCACGTGGACATCCATGAACACTGAAAACACAATCCAACATGGCGGCTGTTACTACCCTTCCCAGTAGAACAAGGCAGTTTTTATCGCCTTCATAGCGTCTGTTATTTTAACCGCAAATACATTTTAAATTGTCCAAGTGATGCTAATGTTGTACCTCGTCGACTTTTTTTAAAACCACGTGATCAAAGTGCAGTCACGTTTTAATTATCACGTGCTGTAAAAAACTTCTYCACGTGGTACAATTAGCATCCGGTGAACGATTTGAAATGCATTTGTGGTTAACATAACAGACGCTAACTGCCTCGGTCTACTGGGAAGAGCAGTAGAAACAGTATTTACTACCAAAATCGTTGAAGTGCGATCTGCGAAGTATGAATTTAATGTCTCGTTCCCTCGCTTACTAGCATTTCAACGACCGTCAATCAAAGAACAAAACTGCAATAAAAAATAAATAAAWGAATATCCAGAAGGAGATTTTAAAACTGCAGTAAAGATTTTAATCCTCTAAAAATCTTTCAATGAAAGAACTGCAATTAARAAAATATGTTTAGGGAAATTTTGGACTGAATTTTTAAGATATTCTTCGCAGGTCGCACTTCAATGCGTAACGATAATGGTAGTAGTAAGTTAAATACTTTCAGCCAATCATAGCCCAGGAAAATAACCCAGTTCCATTATTTAGTCGATAGATTAAGCTGAGATAATAAAGGGTCGAGTTCAGTGGTTCAGAAAATTAACTTCTGTTCGCATTCAAACCATTTGGGGAGTTGGTTTTGGAAAAAATTAAACGCATCTTGAAGTAAAAAAAAAAGCATATTAAAAACAAAACAAAGCAAAACAAGGAGAGAGAGAGAGAAAGTTAAGATAGCCTGGTCAATAGTCGTGGAGTTTCGATTCGGAGGGCGATTATTGAGGGCCGCCAAGCAGGCTGAAGATAAGACTGCATTTTTTTCTTTCGTGAGCAAGAGTAACAACGTAAACACTGCTGTTCAGTTTTTGTTTACTTTTCTTGCTTTTGAAGTTTTTATTTGAGTCGCGTCTGCTGACAACTAAATTATCACGAGTCACGCAGCCCAATTTGCTAAAAATGCTTATCGACTAAGTTATTYAACAACTTAGAACAATGAAACCATACATTCATGAAAAAATAAACTAATAAAATAGTTTTGTAAGGCTACCGTTTACTGAGGTCTACCAAACTTACTAATTTATGCAAATTTGTGCAAGATTTCTTATACTGAACGTTTTGGACAGATATGCACTCTAGTGCACTTTGTCGAAATTAGATATCTATTGATGTGACTTGGTGGTTGCTACAAGAAGGTTGTTATTAGCTTTACAAAGCAATAATATTAGATAACATAATTTATACGTGTCGTTTGTTGAGAAGGCAAAAGCACGCGTACGATAATCAAAAACATGACACRCAACGCAAAGAAACTTGGATCATAGTTAATGGATCTGTTAACTATGCTTGGATGTTTCTTTGTGTATCTGTGTGTGTGTGTGTGGATTTTTTCAACCCAAAGTACATCTTCGTATGAATAGAAGCTATTCTGTCACGATTCATCATGATACTTAGTCTAAATCTCTTAAAAGTTCGTTTCGCTTCTTGAGCGCAAAATGTGGTTTAAAACAATTCTATTGATTCGTTTTCTTTAATCGTTTTTTCCCGCCTTCGTATTCAGTCAATGAATTACGAGGCTTTTAGTGTTAACGTGTTTCGTTTTGAATTACACGAAGGTTGAAGACGCTCCCTGTTTGAATATCTCAGGCACTCAAGACTTACTTGGATAGTACATGCCGATGTTATTGACTTCTAGCTTTTTGGTCTCATTAGTGTTACTACTACTWCCAACGCGGCGATGCCGAGGGACTGCATGATCGCCATAGTCAGCTAAAAGAGCGAAGAGAACGATRATGAGGACTTGAAAAAGACCTCCAACTATTGGGAATGTCAACCGCTTCATCTTGGAGTTGCAGTCTCTGTGAATACTACGAGAACGCGCTTCAACAAAAACAAAAGTGACCTCTGTCCCGCGGTGGTTACTACAAAATTACTAATCTCTCATTGGTTCATCTAGGCAGGAGATCAATGAGGAGATTGTCTRTCCCAGTTTGCTCTCTGTCAGATTTTTTCCCGCGCACGGGCTAGTTGGGCGCCATCCAAGCACAAGAGCGAAAACTACGACTTATGGAATCAGTCTAGGAACGAAAGTACTCTTTTCAGGCGAAGGGATGGAGGTCTCTCTGAGTAGCGAGAGGGATATATGGGAAAAGGAAAATGGGAAATAAATGATATCAGGAAGCCTCATACTTGAAGAAGGCCTTTAAAAAAATACAGGGAATGATGATGGATAGGTCGAGGGATGGACAGACCATGGTTCTGGTAAAAGGTGCTTTATCATCCATGGACGGACAGACAAACAGTCAGACAGTCAGGCAAACTCAATGAAAAGTGTAAGATCAAAAAACCCAAAAAGAATGAAAAACGAGAAAAAACGTTYGCATATGAATTTTTCACTAGTTTTTTGGGATTCCTGTGGTTTTAAGGTGCGCAATGCATTATCACCTGGTCAGCGGTAATMATGAACTCGTAACCAAGCTGGACTCCCTAACAACCAAACAAAAACCTCGTCAAAAGCTCATGCAGATGGAAATCTTTCTCTTCATATTTCGCTTGCTTTCGACTAAAAAATTATCCTAAAAAGCAAAAAGCTTGTTAAGATACCTTCTTAAGCKCCTATTTTAAGTGCAGGAGAAGAAAAATCCGTTTTTGGAGGATTTTTTAGTATTTTTTTTGACGTTGAATTTTTGCTAACCAAACGACAAGATGTCTATCGCTGTTGCAACTCCTCGACACTGTTTCGGCCTCAAAGCCGATGTAGCTAACAATATCTGCTATTTGGACGAACAAACTATTATATATCCATCAGGGTCTAACTGTGTGCTGTTTAATATTGACCAAAAAACTCAAAGATTTATTCCTGGTACGGACAAGAGCGCTGGTATGACWGCAATGGCAGTCAGTCCTAACAGAAGATACGTGGCCATTGCAGAAAGAGGAGGAGAAAAAGCCACGATTACTATTTACGATCTTCATACATTGAGGAAAAAGAAAGTGTTGAGTTTTGCTGAGTTGCAGTCGATAGARTTTGTGAGCTTGGCTTTCTCTCCTGATTCAAAATACTTGGTTTGTCAGGGTGGAAGGCCTGACTGGACTTTACTTTACTGGACGTGGGAAAAGGCGAAGGTTATGGCTTATACCAAGTCTACCAACCAAATGAATTCGCCAGTCTATCAGGTATATAATACGCACTCTCTAATACCAAGAATAATACTCAATATGATTTTTGAAAACATTGGATTTAGTACTAGCAAAAGAACAATCCATTTTGATGATTGTTAACAAGATAGCTCCATCCTTTATTTTTGTTGTTGGTATTTTGAATCGACTTAACCAAAACAATAGCAGCGATTTAACTTGCAGAAATAGTAATTTGTACAATATTTTATATATTGTGGTATCATGTTCCATTAGATAAATGATTTTAAAAAGGCTGATTTTGGTTTCTATGATATTTTTATTAAAGGTTTTTGACCAAAGATCATGCGTCATAATGAAACTGCAGATTCACAAAATATGCGAAGCATTAAAGTTACAACCTTGAGGAATAGTTGGACCRTGGAGTGTGACTTGTATTTCTTTAATGACGGGGATAATAAATGCGGAATTAGGCATGCTTCTGTAGTTGCCTGGAACAAAACTTTCCTTTCAAACTTATGTGTGGGATGTGTTGCAAGATGAAGGGCTGGCTCTGAAGTGTGTAACAGGTTTTGGTGTTCAGTGTAATTGTCGCACACTTCATGGCCAGCCAGGAAAATAACAATCTCCTGTCATAACAAACAAATGTCACACTTGTCTTCATGATTCAACTATTTCTTAAGTTTGTAACTTAAATGCTTTGCATGAAAATCTGTAGTTTTATTCTGATGCTGACCTTTGATCGACAAGGTTCAATAGAAATATTCATTGAAACCAAAATCAGCCTTTTTAACATCATTTTTATATAATGTAAAATATGTAATATTTTTGTTTTTAAACCATAGGTCAGTTTCAACCCTCAAGACAATACACAGCTCTGTGTTGTTGGTAATGGAATTTTCAAGTTGTTYCGCTACAGCGAGGGCAACCTCAAACAGTTTGCCTTCCAAAAGATGGAGCCACAGAATTTTCTCTGTCATACTTGGCTGTCTGATGAGAGGATAATAGCTGGTACAGATACTGGTCRACTACTTTTGTTCGAATCAGGAGAGCTAAAGAATGAGTTCAGTGTTTTGGGGACCACGTCTAGTACTCCTGGAACTGCAAGGTATAAGATACTATAGACCATTTTTTTAAATCCAATAATGCCTTATTTTCCATGTTTGAAGTCAAATTTATTTGTTTTGAATAAAATTGAAAAGAATAAATTTGACGTCAAATATATACGTGGGATATATTAAAAGGATATACAAGTTATACTACCAGCACACAGCCATATAGATCTTTTTAATGATAAACTCGTGAGAGATTTATTTGAGAAATCGAGGTTGGTATTGCAGTGTAGTTGAGTTGTCGGTTTGATTCCTGGAATTGATCTCCCTCTTGATTCCAAGGTTTCCTCCAGGTTCTGCATTAATCTCTCTCCACAAAACCCAACTGCAAATTAATCACAATTTATACTGTGAGTTATCCATGCCCTGAATGAAATCAGCCCAGAGTTTGTTTCTGGGTATCTGGGTTCAATGAAATTTTATGATAAGTAAAAAATGTAGTTCCAGAAAATATCCATATCCCACCCACAGGAGGAAATTGGAAATTCTGGAGGGGAGAGGGGTCAGAGAAAGAACAAAATTACAGAGTTCTTTTTGAAGGAAATTGGAAGTTCCTGGTGATAGGGAATTCCTTTTAAAAATTCCCTCCATGGTGGGGGTATGGATATTTTCTGAAACATACACAGCTAATGTTTGGTCATTTGGGAGATGTATGGAAATTTTCTATGTTAAAGAATTTTTTTTTCAAAATCATCGATTCTGAATTTTCATTCAGGCAACCAAGTGTAGGAGCAGGAGCAACCACCACAGACCAAGCTGACGAACCACCACAAGTCCTTTGTATTGCAGCATTCTCCAAAGGATTCATCTGTTCTGGTGGGCTAGGTGTAGTACACTTGTTTGAGAAAACAGAGGAGAAAGATTTCTACAAGAAGAGCAGAGAAATAAGGATTCCTACAGATGCTCAAAGCCCTGACCCACAGATGACTGAGAAACAAGAAGTAAGAAACCTGACAATYAGTCCATCTGAAGAGACACTGGTGTGTTCTACCAATACATCACAGCTATTTAACATCACACTATCATCTGCTGATCTTGGAAAGGTAAGATATGAGACTTAGTGGCTTAGCGAGGGGGTGAMAACTAAACACATAAATTATATGCATGTGTATTGTGTAATTCCAGAAAATAYYTATACCCACACTATRGAGGGAATTTGTAAAAGGACCCCATTACCCCMRGRAMYTYMMAWTTTYTTYC